AAATATTACAAACACTTTCATTTAATTTTTATTCATGTCATATAACTTTCATGGTAGTTAAAGAAGTTTATATTTTTTAATCCTTCTGGTAAATAATGTAATCCTGATTCATCTTTTTGTTTCATGTTATAACCTTTGCTATATCCTACAATAAAATTTATATAAAACATTATATGTATATTCTTTTAAATACATTTTATATGGTGATGAATAATGTATAATAATTACCTAGATTTTTCATAAGTTTTGTTGGAGCATTCCTTAAATGTAAAGGTACCTCTGGCTGTGGTCCTTTGTATTCAGCCACTACTCTTTGAGCAGCTCTAAGAGCATCTTCCATTAATCTAGATTTTGGTGCTCTTGCTAAATATGTTGTACATTGTGCCAAAAGGACATCACATTCTGGCATTCCTACCATTTTACAACCATGCATTGTATGTATAGCAATTCCTAAGAATTATTATGCAAAATCATTTCAATATGCTATTAGAATTTAAATATTATAAACAGTTAATATTATGTGAGTGTTTGATACTACCAAGAGCTTTTGGATCTTCTAAACCAATATCTTCACATGCCATTCTTACTAATCTTCGTGCAATGTAAACAGGATCTTCACCACCTAATATCATTCTTGTTAACCAGTAAAGAGAAGCATTTTCATCACTTGCTCTAACAGATTTATGTAGAGCAGAAATTGTATCATAATGCTGGTCACCTTTCTTATCATATAGCATATGAGTTTTTTTAAGACTTTCTTTAATATCATCTAATGTTATAGTTATTGGACCATTTTGTAGAAATTCTTCATCATTTGGTATTTTACATTGAAGTGCTAATTCCAAACCCCCTAATGCTATTCGAGCATCACCATCACATGTTCCTGCTAACCATTCTATAGTTGGTTTATCTATAATGAACTTTGGTACTTGTTCAGTATCTTTTAATTTTTCATTTGAGCTATGTACTATTCCTTCTAGTGAAGATACAGCTCGATTTAGTATAGACACTAAATTAGGTATATTTAGTTTCTCCAAAACAATGACTCTACAACGACTCAAAAGTGCAGAATTTAAACTGAAGGAAGGATTTTCTGTTGTTGCACCAATTAATGTAATAGTACCAGATTCAACAAGAGGCAAAAATACATCTTGTTGAGTTTTATTAAAACGATGTATTTCATCCATGAAAATTACTGTACGTCTATTAAATTTCAACTCATTAGAGGCTATAGTGGCTGCTTCTTTTACTTCATTTACCCCAGCCATTGCAGCAGACAATTTAACATATCTCATTTTACCATTTGATTTATTTTTGCACATGTGAGCTATAACATTTGCCAAAGATGTCTGAAATTAAATAAATCTATATACACATATTCAAATGAATAAAAGTTTAGTACTAGATTGATTTCAATAAAATATTCAAATTAACAGGTTACATATAATTTTGTATAATACCTTTCCACAACCAGGTGGACCCCATAAAATTATGTTTGGTACTTCAAATTTATTTAATAACTGATAAAGAACAGTTGATGGTCCAAGAATGTGTGATTGTCCAACATATCCTGAAAGTGTTGTAGGTCTCATGTGTTCAGCAAGAGGTACGTGATAATTTCCAGATAATTTTTTATTTTCTTTATCTATCTAGAAATTATTATTATTAACAACTAATATCCAACATTCTTACTATTTGTTTCATAAAATAAATAAAAGTAATTACATTGTTCTGACATAAAGTTTTTGGAATTTGATCATCTGCATTTATTGCAGATTCTATTACATCACGTCTTTTTCTTGTGAATCCCAAATCAGTTTTCTTTGTTTTTATACTACTTAATTTTATATATTTCCTAGCAGGACTTTCATTTTTAAAGGATGATGAAGATTCTTTACTTGCTGATTCATTTAAGAATAAACATTTAGTAACATGATTTTCTATTATTGTAGAAGAAAATTCTTCAGAACAGACAGGGCAAGAAACTTTATTGTTATTCATTTTTAAATCTACAAAAATTAAGAAGGATCAATCCTATAATTTATTAAACAGTGTGATTAATATAAAGTATAAAGTATCATATATTCAAAAAGCTTTAAAGTTATCGCTAACTTTTCATAATTTCAAAGAAACTTTCTTACTTTACAAACGAGACAACCTGTTCTATAAGATTACCGCGTGCTGCGCAGAAAAGATTGTTAAAGGAATTTTCGACGCCGATACCGTTATATTGTTGTTCCGTATAACTTAAGCCAGATGATCTTTTTATCACTTTTACGTATCACATATCTTCGATATTTTATTGTAACATTTAGCAATTTCAATATTTAATGTAGCAATAGGAAAGTTAAAGGATCAATCTTCTTTTAAGATTGAAATTTTTATAAACAGGACTACGTTGTGTCGAAACTATTGCTCGATTGATGACGTGGGCCCACGCTATACGTCAAGTAGTGGTTTGACGACGTTTCTCTTGATTTTTTCGAAATAATAGCAATCACAGAAATAAAAATACGATACACATTACAACAGTGATCCATTAATAACAAATTTATGCAATGGAAGTTCGTCGGAGGCGAACAAGAAGATTAGATAATAAGCAGCCACAGGTACAAAGCGCCAAGTTTGATTATGAACATATTCCTAGTAATTGCATTAAAAACGTCGAACAGAACGAGGTAAATAATTAGTTTATATATAACTTTTAACTTTACTTTTAATCTTATTTGAAATTTTTGTTTTTGCTTTTTATTCAATGTTCCTGAATACCGATTGCAATTTTTATTTTTTCGTATAGCATTACACATATACAGTTACACTCATTAATATCCTGCCAATCTTTAAAACAGTATAAGTTTTTTTAAATTAGACCAAACGACTTAAGTTTCTTTGAGAAGTTAGAAGGATTAGTTTGCTAGATGATGTGTACAAAAACTTTCAAAAAAATTGCAATTTGTGGGAATCGCGAAGAAAACTATAAAGATCACTTTTTACAAGTTTTTTATATGAGCTTGTAGTGAAAATTTAAAACATACGTTTTGTAGATATATGTAAATTATATACATGCTGAAAATTTCATCGAAATCGGATGATGCAGAAACAAGCGACGGGCATCGAAAGATGTAAGAATCTTTAGATTTATTACAGTTATAGACCGAAAATCGTGAAAACCTCCGACTTTCACAATTTTTAGTAGCTCATAGCAACGTTGACCGATTTCGATGAAATTTTTAGCATGTATATAATTAACATAAATCTATAAAACGTATGTTTTAAATTTTCACTACAAGCTCAGATAAAAAAGTTCTAAAACGTGACCTTTACAATTTTCTTCGCGATTTCAACAAATTGTAATTTTCTCAAAAGTTTTTGTACACGTCATCTAGTAAACTAATCCTTCTAACTTCTCAAAAAACTCAAATCGTTTGGTCCAATTTAAAAAAAGTTATACTGTGCTAAAGAGTGGCCGGATATTAATGAGCGCAACTGTATGTATATATTTTATTATATTCGTATACATATATATTTTTTGACTAAGTGACATGTTTGCAGTATGAAGTATTATATTAAATCTGCAATACTGTTAATATTTTTAAAAATAGGGAGATGAAAAAATGCTTTCGAATGCGACTGAAAAGTTTAAAATAGTGAAAGAATCGGTAAGTGATGCACCGAGGTCTCGAATTAAAATAAGTCTTGAAATCGATTTGATTTCAGTTATTTTATTAGTGACTGGACTTATTACTCGACTTTATCGCTTAGAAGAACCACGGAGTATAGTGTAAGTTATTTCTTATTTTAATGAAAATATAAAATGAAAATAATTTTATAATTGTTAATTTATTTTCATATATACATTAAACTATAGAAAATTTTAATATTTAAAACTAAAAGCTTGCTTACAAATCGCGGGATTAAGGGATATATTCAAAGTATTTGTCTATCTCTTTCAATTAAGGTAACATTAATTATGGATATTATTTGAAACAGGTTTGATGAATTGCATTATGGAAAATATGTAGGACTCTATATGAAAAGAATATTCTTTTTTGATTCACATCCTCCTTTGGGGAAACAACTTATTTCTGCAGCAGCATATTTAGCTGGATTCAATGGACAATTTAAATTTGACAGAATAGGAAATTCTTACGCAGATATTGTTCCTTTGTTTGCGTTGCGATTAGTGCCAGCGCTATGCGGCAGTCTTCTAATTCCGACAGTTTATCATTTGATTTTAGAATTAGGTCTAAAACAATGGACTGCTGCTTTAGCGGGATTTTTATTATTACTCGGTAATTCATTGTATTATATTTTTAGTTCACTGTACATTTATCTAGTATGTGTGTACACGTGCGTACGTGTATTAAAAAAAAAAGTGAATATAATTCAATTTTCATTATTTGGATTGATATGTATTATAAAATTCAGAAAAGTCATGGATCAACCAACATCTTTGTCCTGGTGGATATGGTTAATTTTGGGTATTGCAAATTTAACATGTGCATTATGGTATAACACAACAGACATTCAAGATGCAAATACTTCTAATAATTGAACTTAGTGTTATAAATCTAATCATCTTTTTTTTTTTTAGTGTAAAATATGTTGGATTATACTCATTGGTTCTTGCATTACTGTTAATTGTTTATGATTATTGGAAATTGATACCAAAGAAAAGTTTATCTAATACAGTATTATGCTTTCATCTTGCAATAAGAATTTTTGTAATATTAAGTGTTATTTGTACCATTTACTTGACTGTGTTTTATATACATTTAACAATACTTTCTAAAGCTGGACCACATGATTCGGTAATGACAAGTGCTTTTCAAGCAAGTTTAGATGGTGGTCTTGCTAGCATTACAAAAGGCCAACCTTTAGAAGTTATACATGGATCACAAATTACTTTAAGACATACATATGGAAGAGCTTGTTGGCTCCATAGTCATAATCATATGTATCCACTAAAATATCCAGATGGAAGAGGTAGTTCTCACCAACAACAAGTTACATGTTACTCATTTAAAGATGTTAACAACTGGTGGATTGTGAAGAAACCAGAAAGAAATGATTTAGTTGTTACAAAACCCAGTGAATCAATAAAGCATGGCGATGTAATACAATTGATACATGGAATTACAAGTCGAGCACTAAATTCACATGATGTTGCAGCTCCAATGACACCTCAGAGTCAGGAGGTGTCATGTTATATTGATTATAATGTGTCTATGCCTGCTCAAAATCTTTGGAGAGTGGAAATTACTAACAAAGATAGTACTGATCATGTTTGGCATGCAATTCAAAGTCAAATACGGTTGATACATGTAAATACAGATTATGCATTAAAATTTAGTGGAAGACAATTGTCTGATTGGGGTTTCAATCAGCATGAAGTAGTGGCAGATAAATTAGTGGATCAAACAGATTCCATATGGAATGTTGAAGAACATAGATATACTAAGAGTGAAGATCAAAAACAAAGAGAAAGGGAATTGATTAATGCTGAAATGATCCCATTACAAGCAACCACTTTAAGTTTTTGGGAGAAATTCGTAGAATTACAAATTAAAATGTTTTTGAGTGGTCAAGAAGGACAAAACAGTCATATGTATTCTAGTGATCCCTTAGATTGGCCATTAATGTCTAGAGGAATTGCATATTGGGTTTCTAATGACAGTAATGTAAATATCTATTGGAATATATTTCTTTGTAGAAATTATCAGAATTCATTAATATTAATCTGTTCCCCTTTATCACAGGCTCAAGTACATCTCCTAGGAAATATAGCAATTTGGTATTCTGGGACAGTATGTGTAATTATATACACCTTTCTTTTAATATTCTATATGTTAAGACGAAGGCGAATGTGTTTTGACATTGCACATGAAGAATGGAACAAATTTTCTAATATTGGAAGCATTTTATTAACTGGATATTTGTTACATTTTTTGCCTTTTATATTTGTTGAAAGAACTCTATTTCTTCATCATTATTTACCAGCATTTGTCTTTAAATTATTGCTTACATCAGCAACAATAGAGCACCTGCATTACTTAATAGGGTATGTTAAAAGATGTTTATATATAGTTTGCTTTTTGAAACAAATTTATAAATAAAAATTTTTTAATTTTCAGAAATCGATATAAGCACAATTTTTTGATGTACATATTAAAATTCAGTACTGTTATATGGATGATTTTTATTATTTATGTATTTAAGAAATTTGCAGTACTTAGTTATGGAACAACTCATTTGAGTGCCAAGGAAGTTTTAAAATTGAGATGGAGAGACACATGGGATTTTATTATACATAAAACATAAGAAACAATCAAACGTAAGATATTTTTAAGTATATACTTATAAAATTGTCATTTACTTGTACCGAAAATTATTTGACGTAGTTTATTCACATCATGAATTGATACTATAAACATACAAAAATTTTAATAATTTTTGTGAGAATATAGATGTTCAAAGTACAAGCATAATATAGATTTATTATTTTTTATATTGTAAAAAATATGTGCTTAACTGATTACATTTTATAAAGTTTTCTTTATTATTATTAAATATAAGCAAATAAATACAAGCAAGCACAAAGTCTGATATTTATAATACTCATATAATTATTTTACGCCATAAAGGTTATGTAGAAAAATAAACATTTACATATTTTATACAAATTATATGTATTTGCGCTCTAAAATATTAGAAAAGGTTGAATAATTAAAAAATAAAATGTAACACAAAAAGATAATGAACAATAGTTTGTATGTCGTTACTATGATCACGTTTTTCTATATTCATATTTCAATTCTTTTATAACATTCTTTTGTACAATAACAATTTCTTAAAAATTATAAATTGATACAACAAAAGTAATTTTAAAGTGATAAACAAAAATGTATTAACATATAGTTTTAATATTGGTATTTATATTGTAAAGCTTTAGACTTTTGTTTACACAATAAACGTTAATATTTCTATATAATACTTCTGTACAGATTTTAAATTTAATTGAAGCATTTATACATTAATAATGACAGCACCGACATAATTTAAAGAACATAATAATGCATATAATATACAACAGAATAAAGCAAATTGTTGTGTTATTACAAATTTAAAATACGTATTTAAATTTTTTTATGTAAGCCAATTTTATTATTGGAATTACATAGTAACACCTTGATACGTAAAAACTATAGATCGAATAAGACCATTTCGTACATCATCCGAACTGTTACCGACACCGAACGTGAAGAATACAGAATTACAGAGCACGTTTTCGGTACAGACTCCCATTGGATACCAACCAAGTTTATTAAAAACCACCCCAACTCGATACACCTATAGTCAAAGATAGGAGTAACTTTGAAAAATATTTGAATACTTTCATCCTTTAAATCTTAAAAGAATTATATGAACATGTACCTTATTTCTCTGAATATAAACAGGTCGATTAAACGTAATTTCCACGAGAGAATTAAAATCTGCTTTTGTTGTAAAGTGTGTATAAGTTAATCGAGTATTATCAGAATCAAGAAGATGAGCATACAAAATTTCATTATATGAAATTAAATCATCGCGAGCCTGAAATGCAAACTGTATGCAGCAATTAATATGAAATTGAAATTCTAATTGTACTTTCCCCCAATTATTTATTTATCTTAATTGTTTAAAACTATTTAACTTACTGGACGAAGAATTTGTGTAGGTATTTGTACACCCAATACACAAATATTTTTATCTACACTAAAAGTCACAGAACAGTCTAATACATTTGTATTAACACAGTGTGATGGATGAAGTACAACTCTTTGACAATAATATTTTGGTCCATCTCGTACACCTCCTTCAACTATAACAGGAGATGAATTATTTACTGACAAATTTTCAGCATCCTTTCTGACTCCATTTTCAATTATTATTGGAGGTGTATTTCGTAATGTATTGCTAGATCCAACATATTGTATGTATGAACAATTAGAACGAGGTCTAGCACTTCTATATTTCTAGAAAAATGGAATCCAATGTAGAGTATTAAAAATTCAAAAGCTACTATACAGTATTTACACAACTTACACCGAAAATATCTAAATGTAGATTAGCTCTGCCTTGTAAATTAGTTGAAAATCCTTCAGGCATTGGTGTTGTATTCCCAGTACATAATATATTCATAAGGATAGCAAAAGTTTCATCTTGAGTAAGTAATGGCGACATTCCTGTCCCTTCTGCAAATTCCTGAGGGTTTAAGCTTAAAAATCTAATTTTTGATAATGCATTTCCAATTACTGACTTTAAAGATTTTCCATCATTAGAATCAAGAGATTTTCTTGTGCACTCAGCTTTGGCCCAACGTTCCACTGCATTAAATAGTTCCATTTCAGAATTTATTTGTAAATTTTCTTGCTCTAGAACTGTCAATAATGTTCCAAACTCAATTTCTTCCCAATTAGGTTCTTTTAAAACTTCATTTGTTTTGGTGCAAATGATATGAAGACACTTGTCCATCAGTACAGGTTCTTCAAATAATTTAGCAAATTCATATGCTCTGCAAGCCTTTTTTGGAGATACATCAGACCATAAATATTTTGTACATGCTTCTACCAGAGAAGGAAGCATATATTTTTTGGCACAATAACATAATTCACAAGCTAGTTCAAAAGAATTTAAATCAACTCTATCTGTATATATGTATTCCAAGAGAGCTTTAAAAGCTTCTGGTTGAACATCTCGGATAGGTATCAGATCATTTTTTTCTGCCATACCCCCAAAAAACATAGCTTCAAAGACAGGACTAGACATGGCCAAAAATAATTTATGCCCTTTTAGTGTTTGTTGATGGGGTTCTTGCCCAACTATAAATTTGCAGTCGGACCATTGTCCTGTTTCTAATAAATATTGACTACGTTCTAAAAGTTTTTGTTTCTTGATCTGCCAATCACAAGGCAGACCCATCTCCACAAAATTCAGAATATAATATTAACTTAGATTCACACAAGTATGCGTTAACTAAACTGTAACAGTGAAGAGAAAAAATAGAAAAAGATATAAAAGAAGACCAAGTTACACAAAAGGTTCTAAATATCATAAGAGTAATATTCTGACGTATTAAGCTTGATGTCCATACGTACCTATCCTTTCGCGATACGTGTTATCGCTATAAATACAAAATATGACATAAACGGTGCCAAAAAAATCCGTATAGTAGTTCAATGAGCATCAAAATACGCGCGAGAAAAGTAAGAATTTTTCCATATTACAGATTTGTGTAACCCACCATATGGATTTAGATTGTGCAGTTTATTTAAAATTGCAATCCTAAAAATAGTTTTCTGGTTGATTAAAGAAATTCCGAATTACAAGCAGATCGTACAAGTGCAAAAACCCGTACCTCAATGCGTCGAATGCTACGCCATCTTGGTTATGCCTGCACTCCATTACATCGTTTTTCCAAAGTCGTTGATGCTCTGTCTCAACGACTTTCAACGTAGTTTTTGGTAATACGCGCAACTTTTCAAGTTCTATTTGATTTAAATAAATATATATGTACGAAGAAAGAGTAATCTTTATGTTGTCAACTTCGAAACAACGAACATTCAAACAGTGTCGAGTACAGTGCAAATAACCAAAAATCTCGAAGATGCTGGAATATTTTCAAATTGAAGAATGTGAAAGTTTGCATCTACAATAGCTGTCAGTTTTCTTGAATAAAAATTAAAGGTTCTCCCTGATCATCGTGTATGAATCAAGAGATGAATTGAATTTAAAGTTTTCCGCGAGTTTTTCATTGGCTTTGATGACCGTTGTGAATTTTCCCAATGGCGCATGCACGGCTCAGCTGTGTGCAATCGCGACCAATTTACGTAGAAAAATAATGTATTTTATAGTATTTTTATTCAATTAGACGGAGTACTGGATACGGTATTCGTAATATTAGGTACGTTAGAATGAATTTTCTTCTGACATTAATTAACCAATGATGAAAATCACGGTATACCTAGAAAATCTTTTGTGACGGATTCAGAAGCACCTGCATTGGATCCACCTTAACTCTGCAAGCTTCCTGACAGACTTCTTTGACTTGTCATTTCGTGACTTTTTTATTTTGTATTAAAACATGAAAATGCAGATAATACGTTTATATTTGTTTAATTATTTTTACAATTTGCATTCTTACCGTAAAAATTTTTTTTTCATGAAAGTGGTATGATGAAATGGTAAAATTTTGTTTATTCCTTGATATTTGATTTAAGATGCGAAACATTTAAATAAGTATTTATTTTAAAAAAATGTTGCTTTTTTAAATAACTGTATATTTACTTTTTAAACAATTTAACAACCTTGATTTGTTAATGATCTTTTCTTTTGTATATAAATCATGTTGAGTCATCATTTATTATGTCTTACAGTATTTTTGAATATATTTTTATATATTTTAAATATAATTATATCTTATTACTTGAATACATAAAATAATATGAACATAATGTATGGAAACTGAATTATTTTCATAGTTATTTCAAAGTTATTAGTAATCATGAAGTTTGTATCATCTAAAACTATGTATACATGAAAATTTAATTTTTTTTAAATACTCTTGGTTATTTTGTTTTGAAGAAAAATAACATTTTTATATCTTCTTTTTATAGCAGTGTGGCAATAGTGATTATTTGTTAATGCTTTTGCTTAATAGTTTCTTAAAAAAAAATATTTATATTTTTACATATTATTATAGAAAAAGTTTTATCAATGTTGTTTATTATTTCAGACAACATGGACTGCCCATCCAGTATTGCAACAGTGCATAAATTGTGCTCATATTGCATGTAGCCTTTCATCTTGCATTATTTTTGATGCACCCAAAAGAATATTACATTTTTAAAGGAAATTATTCCTAGCTTCTAATAAGAGAAATGGATGCTGTACGTGATGAGGACAGGCGCAGGCGCCTGAGGGTGCTGGAGGAACGTATTAGAGATCCAAGAAGCATTACAAATATTGATTGTTTATTGGATACAGTTCAAGCCCTGGTGGCAGATTGTGATCATCCCAGTGTAAAACGTATGAAAAATATAGAAGCATATATGAATAGATGTGAGTATTTAATTGTTTTATTACAGTAAAAAACATTTTCATTGAATAGTACAGCACTATAATATAAAGTAGTAGATATTTTATTTTTTTAAATTGTAAAGTATATATTTAAACAATCTTGGAATTATGTGACTTTTATAAGGGTAAACTTTAGCAGAAACTGTTTATGTCTGCAGATGATTCAGTGGCTCAAGATATTTGTAAAATGCGAATGCGTACAGATGACTTCACTCTAATAAAAGTGATAGGTCGTGGAGCATTTGGGGAAGTACAGTTGGTACGGCATAAATCTACTCAGAAAGTATATGCTATGAAATTACTCAGTAAATTTGAAATGGTAAGAAACATAAATTATATTATAAGTAAATTAAATTATGTGTGTAATATGTATTTCATTTTTCACATTTTGTAGATCAAACGATCAGATTCTGCTTTTTTTTGGGAAGAGCTTGATATAATGGCACATGCTAATTCACAATGGATAGTTCAGCTCCATTTTGCTTTTCAAGATCAAAAATATCTGTACATGGTAATGGATTATATGCCAGGTGGTGATTTAGTGAACTTAATGTCAAACTATGATGTGCCAGAAAAGTGGGCTAAATTCTATTGTGCAGAAGTGGTGCTTGCATTAGATGCAATACATCTTATGGGATTTGTTCATAGAGATGTAAAGCCAGATAATATGTTACTTGATAAGTATGGTCATCTAAAACTTGCAGATTTTGGTACTTGCATGAGGATGGATATTGTATGTATAGTTTTTGCAACATTTTATATGAAATTTATATAAAAGTATCGTTATATGAAAATATTTAATTACTATGTACGCTTTTTTAGGATGGTCTTGTTCGATCTGATACTGCAGTAGGTACGCCTGATTATATATCGCCCGAGGTACTTCAGTCTCAGGGTGGCGAAGGTGTATATGGAAGAGAGTGTGACTGGTGGTCAGTTGGTGTGTTTTTATATGAAATGCTTGTTGGTGATACTCCTTTTTATGCGGATTCATTGGTTGGAACATATTCAAAAATTATGGATCATAGAAATTCGTTACATTTTCCTCAAGAACTTAATATCTCTCATTCTGCTAAGAATTTGATATGTGGTTTTCTTACGGACAGAACTAAACGTCTGGGAAGAAATGGTGTAGAAGAAATAAAAAATCATCCATTCTTTAAAAATGATCAATGGACTTTTGAAAATTTACGAGAATGTGTGCCACCTGTGGTACCAGAACTTTCTGGTGATGATGACACTAGTAATTTTGACGATGTTGATAAAGAGGATGGACCAGAGGAAAGTTTTCCAATTCCAAAAGCATTCTCTGGAGACCATTTGCCTTTTATTGGTTTTACATATTCAGGAGATTATCAATTAATGGTTTCTAGTGGCAAAGAATCGGTAGATGGGTTAGAAAATCATATCAATAATGGTACAAGCGATGATATGAAAGTTTCTCAATTAGAAAATTTATTGGATAAAGAGAAAAGGCAAGTAGAATCTTTGGAGTCAAGACAAAAAGCTTTGACAACACAGTTAGAAGCTATGACACGTCGAGAAACTGAATTATGTGAAGAAATAGGGAGAGCGGATAAGGAATTGACATTATTGAGGCATAACTATAAGGAAGCACAACGTAGGGTAGAGCACGAAACGGAATCGCGCAGGAAAGCAGAGTCATTATTTGTAGAACTGAAAAAGAAGTTTGATGAAGAGCAAACAAAAAGAGCACGTGATGTAAGTAATTCGCAGCAAACTTCTGAACGTGTTACATCTTTAGAAAAACAAATTAAAGAAATGCAGTCGAAGTTAGAAAGAGAAACAGAAACAGTAACAAGGTTACGGAAGCAAGCTACGGAAATTACTGTTGCTCGTCAAGCTGCAGAACAAATGGCAAATGAATTACAAGTGGCGAGAGCACAGTTACAGGCGCAACGAGATAATCTACAACAGGAAGTGGCTACTCTACAAGTAAGTGTTTATGTGTAAAAGAGATGGGTAGAAGTATTTGGTTTTAATAATAAAATTGTTTCTATGTATAATTTCACAGGGGCAGTTGTCGAAAGAACGTAGTTCTCGGTCACAAGCGTCATCGTTAACTGCTGAATTAGAAAGTCGTCTCTCTGCTCTTCATCTTGAACTTGAGCACAGTCGAGAGAAAGAAGATAAGGCGATCATGGATAATAGACAATTAAGTGAAAAAATTTCAGCATTGGAAAAGGAAGCTGCAAGTTTAACCCTTGAATTAAAGGCTGCACAAGCTAGGTATAATCAAGAAGTAGTGGCTCATCAAGAAACGGAACGATCGCGTATATTATCTAAAGAAGAAGCTAATTTGGAAGTTGTTAAAGGTAATTTTATTCACTTTTACATTCAACAATTGAGACATTATTTTTTTAAAAGTTGTATACTTCTATTCTAATGTATCAGGGCGAGAGAATAAAATATTTAAAGATAATGTCCACTAGTTTTTATAAACTCTTAGTTTGAAATGTTACTGATGTACTTATTTTAAATTATTGTAAATATTCTGATTATTGTTTTCTGTGTATAAAATGTAATATGTCATATTACACAGGGTGTTAGCGAAAAGGGCCACTCTCTTTGAGGGTGTATAGTACTTATTAAACTGAGTAAAAAATACTTAGTAAGCACAGATTGAAAAATCTTTATCGTCGAAGATACAGGCGATTTTCTGTTGTAGTAACATAAGTGGTTTGCTTCTTTTGTTTGACAAATACGGTTTCAGGAACAATTATTGTCAGGTGCAGTGTATATATCTTGTTAGCTAATATATTACTTCATTTTTTGGAGGATGTGCCCTTTAACGAAAAATTGATGATTTATACAAGATGGAGCTCCCTTATTTTGTATTCCTTGTTAGACAATACTTAAATCGTATATTTCCTGAGAGATGGGTCAGATGGGATTGTTGTATGGCACCCGATTTTAATCCTTTAGTTTTTATGGGATGATGTTAAAGACTTAGTTTTTCTTAGTAGTTCTTTAATAGGAAGATGCCAAGCACGTGTGGAAATGGAAGGAGGACATGTAGAACATCTTTTATAAACATCGAAGAGAAGATGACGATAAGATAAAATTGATTTTCGTACCATATTCGTTGAATGAAAGAAGCAAATCACTGGTGTTAGCAAAACAGAAAATCGCTTCTATCTTTGACTGTATGGATTTTTCGACGTACGTTATATGCTCC